TAGTGTTCAACAAAGACTTCTAAAAGATTATTCATCAGTATATCATAATAAATATTTTTTTAAGCAATGCAGATCAGTTGGTTCTCCCAGTTATTGATTTTCAGTTGATAAAAATTTCTGTGAGGGTTTGTATTTACTCTTTGAAGGTGTGTTTTTGGAGAACAGTGATCTCTGAGTGTGGTTGTGTTAGTAATTCATCTATCATTAATTAAAATAATGTGTGTACTATTTACTTAAAACCTGTACTATTTCCAAATCCAATTAATTTGCAGAAAGAGTATTAAAGTATCTGTAGAGTGTGTTGTGTGCCTAATGAGATGGATTTTTCTGACCGGATTTTTCTGACCAAATGTTGTGCGAGTCCCTGTGGGGTACCCCTGAGATTGAATTTGATGATTGCCTTATCACTTCCTGTTGATACAGCATCTGGTCTGTTATCAGGGTCAGAGTGGTTAATCTCAGCACAGAGCTTCATTCACAAAGAGTGGCGTAGTGTAAAACAGGGAATCGCAATGGAACTCAACGTGTACTCAGTGACCGGGAAATTGTGTTAATAAATACAAAATATTTAATCAATTGGTTCATGAAATTTTGAAGAGGCTTTGGAAGAAAAAATTTTGGAACGAAATGTTCCTAATTCTCTTGATGATGTGATGAAATTACAAAAAACTCTATAAAAATCATTAAAGTTTGAATCTTTAGTAGGATGGATTTCTTTAAATGAATTTTGATCCTTTAAAAATAATCAATGAATCATTATACTTTATTATTATCAAAATTTGGTGGTTAAAAAATAATTTCACAATAAAGTTTTATAAATTTTGCTATGAGTATTATAGAAAATTTAGTGGTTATAAAAATATTCAACTTTTAAACTGCATGCCATTGTAAAGTTTTGTTTGAAATTGTTTATTCTGATCATTATTGTTATTAGACAATCCTGTGAAGTGACTATAATGGACCCTAAGGTTTGTTTGATTGGCATCAGTTATCTGTTATAGATAAGACTTCTGAGTTAGGCCCCTATCATGTCCCGTCTTTACACTATGCCAGATGTTAAGGTGCTGCCCTAGATGTCTAATTTGTTTGTGAATTACTGGATCACCTGCAGCCAACAGTGTTTTCAAGCTTCAGTATGACCTGGACTTCCTCATTTTGACTTTGATTGAAAGTAGTTGCCATGGTGATGAGGAGATGTTTTTGAGGGTGATTTTTATGGGGAGGTAATTTGAATTGGATTAACACTCTGTATTAGAAGAAAAAGGAAGTGAATGTTGAAATGTTGTTCCACCTGGACTAATGCTTACTTCAGATGTGTGATTGACAAGCCCCTGGCAGTAGGTGTTTTACATTTTGAATGGTAATGTCTTATTTTTTTGCATAGATTATGGAGGTGTTAAGTTTGTGTAAATACAGGTGTCAAACCTCATGTAATTTGTGCAATAACATTCGGCCATTTAAATAACTTCCCAATTGCATTTTTTTTTCTTGCTTTTAAGTTTTCATTTTTTACAAATTTTTAGGGCAAGACTAAAAGTCAGTATCACAACTTCTTTGCACTGAAATAATTTTTTATCTTGCAAGATGCACATTTATCAAAAATTTTCAAATGCACCTAGGAATCAATGTGAACCTGAAGAAGCTTAGAAAACAAGGGCTGCTGACTGTGGGGAAAGATTGTGTCAGTTTTTGTACCATTTAAATCATTATATGCTGGGAACTGGAGCCAGTGTTTCTCGTTACATCATCAAAGATGCCCCGAAGATCAATGTAAACTCCTAGAATCTGAATTAAGAGTTGTCGATACCTCTTGTGTGGTACAATATTTAATATTTGTAAAGTACAGGCGCAGATATGAAGTTGTCTTGATAAGTGTGGTTAATAGCCAAACTTTAAGGGGTTGATACTATATCGTAAAACGGCCCCAAATTGTGAGCTGTGCCTTGGTGCATCAGAGCTAATAAACCTGTTCCTAGTGATATGCCAAAGATACGTGGATTAAATAGTCAGATTTCTCAGGGTAGGAATTCAACATGGAGATTTTAGTGATTTTTTAAATTTTAATTCATAGTTCTAAATTGTTCATCAATGGAAAGAAATGTGTAATATCTTATAGCTGAGTTTGTGTGCAAAGCAGTAGTATGTGAGACTTGAATTGTGCTGTGTTAATTAATATCTATATGTATTTATGGATATACAATGGTAATGCTGAAAAATTATTCTCTCTCTCTCTCTCTCTCTCCCTGGTCTCTCTCAGTTGGTGATAGTTAAATATCTGTATTTATTTCACCATAGTTATATGTTACTGATTTTCCAATTACTCTCTGGCCATTTTATACAATGAAGAGGTATTTGTATCAGGATCATATCTAGTTGTGTTGAGGTACAGTTTTACTTCTTTGTCCTAATCAATCTAATGATGAGTTTAATGGTAAGGTTAAAAATCTTTTAATGCTGAAAGATTAATTGATCAGTACCAACTATAAATAAACTGTTGATTTCTGGTAATTATAATAGGAAGGATTCAGGGTGTGCTGATGAAACCATTTGTCAACTGAAGTTAAACTGCCGTTTATATGTGATTATGATCTTATAATGAGTATTTGGTTTCATGCATCTTTATCCCACAGGTATTTCGAATATCTATCACAATTAGGCAGTTTTAATGTTAGATTCCTCTCAGTAGATCTGAATTGTCCGTAATTGAAGTGGTAAAATCAGTTTTTAATTGCTTTCTATGTTTTCATTTTTTCCCCAACGGAGCAGTTATTTTGCTTTAAAAAAACGTTAATTGTAGAATTAGCATCAGATCACATGACTAAGGTTTCCGAAGTCCAGCTTTGTTTTAACGTAATTGGTTGTAACAATTTGTCATGCAGTCTCTCTCGCTAGATAGGGCTTTTCGTTCAATGATTGGATTCTTGTAAATGTGACACAACAACGTTGCGTTTGTTTTCCGGAAGTTAGTCCTAAGTTGTTCTGTATCATACGGAAACTAGATATTCAAGTGCACTTAATATGGAGTACTCACATTGGAAAATAAGTTCACAGACGACTAAAAATATTTATACTCAAGTGTTTTGTGTTTTGTTTGGATAAGATGCTTTTCTTTTATAAACGGCATGTTGTGACAGTGTCTTTATTAATATTCTCTTCCTTGGTCTGGTTGGCAGATGAGTATGTATGTATTTATTTTTTTTATATTAAGCATTAGTACATTTACCATAGCACTGTTTTTTTGTAGAGCTAAATTAACAAAATTTAAATATGAGAAGCTCTATTTACAAAAAAGTATGAAATGTATTGCATATTTCATCTTTTTTCTTAGCGGCAAAAATAATTTAGAAATGTAAATGATATTGTAAAAGCAAATGTGTCAAAGTGAATTTTAAATCCCATTTTGAAGTGAAGTAGAGATCAATCATTTTCACAGATTTGAGGAAGAAAATCATCTTGCATTTTATACCTTCACAATCTTTCTGAAAAATGGAGAACTGAGATTGAAAGATTTAGTTGCATAATTTCAGTGTCAGGGGGTTAGAAGTGATATATATTGCTCCATGTAGTAACGACTTGAACTTATTTTCTAAAATATGTCAAGGTGTTTGTTATAAGATTTGATTGATTTAGGAACCCAGTGAATGGGTCTAATGTTAATGATACTTCAACATGTCAGACTTTCTAAAAAAAATTGTAGAGGATATATAGGTCTAGAGAATATTCTGGTTGGGGCTAGTGGTGGTACATGTACTGAATTTTCACTTGTTTTCTCTTTAGCCACTGGAGGCATCTTTAGACAATCACATTAAAGAGAGGCAATTATACTAGAGTTCTTATTTGGGTCTTGGACATATAAGCCCGTTATTATGGGAAACCCCAAATATCTGTTTCATTAAAATGTAAAGTTAAAGAATGTTGTAAAGATTCTGCCAAAGTTTCATTAACTTTTATTTAAAGATGAAGGAGGAGTTTCAGATAAGAGATTGGTACCCTGATTAGCTCATATGAAAGAAAAGAAAGAATGGCAGTATCCATCTTTGCCATGGGAGTGCTCAAATATGAGTTCAGTCAAAATGTAAAATAGGAGGTGCACAAAATGTCATTAAGCAATACAGATTTGATGTCTTGAAAGTTTCATTAACTTGCATGCAGTGGATAATGATGGCTAAACCCTAAATTTAATGGAGGAACCTGCAGATAAACATGTCACTAAATACTTCCCAGTTTTCAAGCTGGTGGGGGTGTTGTCGGGGGGGGGGGGGGGGTTGAAATAATTTTAACATCAACAAAGGCACCTAGAGGAAATCCATGAGACTATATAGAGGATGTACAGTTTTATTTCCCAGTCTTCTTTCTCTTCCTGGTTCATCACTGGGAGTCTGAGAACAGCTGGTGATGGTATGGTGTGGGGATACCTCCAGACCATTTGTGATTTAACAGCAGCTGGGGGGGGATCCTCTGTGAAATATGAGGAGTTAATCTTGCTCATTAGTGGCCATAATGTACAAAATCTGACATAAGTCCTAGCCAGCAGCCCTTGTGTGCACTTCAAAAACTCAATCATTCTAAAGATTAAATATGGTGTAGAGTTTTCTTGATAGGAAAATTTAATTTCTAGTGGTTGAAGGGTGTGAAATTCATTTTAGCATATTTTACTTTATGATTTTTTTTTCCTCTTTGATTTATAGATTTAAAGAGAATGATGCTTCATTATTTTAAATCATCTCCTCTTCTGTTTTAGTTTCTAATCAAACTACATACCAGTGGTCAGATTTAAATCAGAAGATATATAAACTTTTTATGATCTTGATCACAAAAAAATTATCACTGAAAAGATAACTAATTCTTAACTGCAGGAACGTTACCATTATAAGTCATCATTTTTTGCTTCTTTTGTTATTCAAAAGATGGTTTAAAGGACTAGGTTCATTTACAGGGGTAATTGACTCACTGCCTTTTGCTAATCCTCTTCAATGATTGGTCATAAATATTCTTTACAGTGATAGAAACTAAGGAATCCCATTGATTAAGAGACCAAAAAGAAGCTTATTAGTGATTGAGATGAAAATTCTGTGTTGAGGGGGAGGATTTACAGAGACATGGGACGTAGTCTCTAGTCTTACGAACATTTTAAGTGACTGCCATTTTACAAGGAGTGTGGAAGCATGCAGTCTTTAGTCTAAGGAATGTTTTAAGTGACTGCCATCTTACAAAGAGTGTGCAAGCATGAATGTGAAAGCACTGCAACATCACTTTGACAATAACTTAGCAAACAATTCATGTCAGCATCACAGAAAAGTTATAAATCTGCAAAAATTGGACAAAAAACGGCCGCTAAGTCAATCTCTGTCTTGGATTAGTCGGATTAAACAGCGACTCTGGGGACGCGAGGGAAATCCGACAGGAGGTCAGTCAGGCAGGCGGAGATCTCCAGCAAAGGAGGAAGAAAAGGACCAAAAGTGTTCTACACTCCCGCGAAATGTGCGGCTAGGTATGTTATAGCTCTGAGAGACAAAGTAGACCAAAAATGGTACACACTTAGATGAAATGTGTGGCCAGATAAAGTATATATTTGAGATCACAGTAGAAGGACATTGAACACATTTGATTTGGTAAGTATTCTTGATTTTTGTCATGTGGTGGAAAAAACTACAGGCAGACATGGATAATGTTATGTGAAAAGACTGGGTCAAAGAAAATAAATGTTTTTTCATCAGATAACCTATTAATTTAAATTGACTCTGATATTTTCATGTGCAAGCTTTAAATATTTTTTGGTTGTAAAATCTGGAAATTGCTTGCAGGTCTATGTTCCTTCAAAAGTTGACAGTTTATAGGTCATAATTTCTAGATCAATTTTTTTGAGCTGACAGGTATATTATGGTAATCATTAATAAAAAAAAAATTGTTGGCTAGAAGAAATTATTAAGTTTCAAATTGCACATTCATGTTAAAAAAAAAGAGAAAAAAATTAACACCCTACATACTTACAACCCTTAGGTTTTATTTTTAAGCATTTACATGTATTTGAGTCAACAAGCATATTTTTCTTAGGTTTGTCTGAGTGTCATTGCTTGATATTTATAATGATATGACAAACAGTTTTAGAAAGTGGTGACTGCACCTTGAGTAATTTTATTTGATTAGAGATGAATCAACAGATATAATACAGTTACTTTATACCAAGCAAATTATTGTCATTAAGTACAAGTCTAGACAATATTTTCTGCACCTTTCAAATAAGCATTTATATTATTTAAGTGACAAATTGCACTATCTGAAATACGATATTCATGTCAAAGCCCTTGCAGGCATTGGTTTTTCATCAAACTAGCCATATATTAGTTCTCACATAAATTGCCTAATATACATATATGATTCTTGTAAGCTAGTACATATAACCAAAAAAAAGTTGTACATCGTTCTTTATTCATTTAAAAGAAATTTGGTTGTATGGACATTAATGCGCTTGTACATGTAAATGAAAGCGGACTCTCTGTAAGTTTAACATATGATGCAGATGTAATTAAGTGGAAAGGTTTTCTATTGGGGAAAAATCGGATAGACTGCAGCGTAGCTGGGTCATTGAATATCAATAAAACAAGGATTGTAATGTTTACTCTTCCAATAAACCAGATAATTGATTTCATTCAGCAGTTTTCCTGTTCATATAAATTAATATTGCTGGGTGTGTAATAGCCATGGCTAAAAGTGCAAGGTGTATTCATATTGCAATATGAGATGTAAAATCCATTTGGAATAGTGTTCATTTTCCAAAAATCAAATTAAACATGTGAAAGATCCACATATTTTGATTCTATTCAGAGAATATTTATTGATGTTTCAAAGATTCAAGAGTAGAATTCTGCAATACTCAAAAATAAAGAATTTTTAAATGAAATAAAATAATAACACTTTTTGTATACAGGCAGCCATAGAGGTATATAACTTTAAATTCTTAGGATGCCAATTTTATGCCATTATAAAACAAAAATTAAAAAAAAAATGTCAGTATAAAATAAAGCTCTACAAAAATAAACTCAGCATATTTTTTTAGGGATGCACTTAGCAGATATATTCATATTTTTAATGTAAGATAAAGCTATAAAGGTGAAGATCTTTTTATATTTGCCTCTGACAGTTGAGCAGAGTGTATGCTGCCCCGCTGAGCGGGGTAATTTAATAAAGCTCCTAGTCCTAGCTATACCTCAGGCTGTTTGATCCAGATAAAAACCAATCTCAAAACATGTGCTTCAAAAAATTTTTTTTTTGCCTCATCCCCTTACCCCTCTTCTTTATCTATACTGGGGCCCCAGGGAGGGGAATTTCTAAATTGGAAATTTTTTTTTAAGATTTTCAAATAATGAAGCTTTTTGGCAGCTGTTTTTTTTTTGGGGGGGGGTATATATATATATATTTATGTTTGATGTCCAGAAAAATTGTTTTAAAAAATAATGAAAACAGTTGCACTATGCTGCAGCCATACAAAATCTCTTCGTTTTAATCTTCTTGAGGTGAATATCCTATTTCTAGGTCAGCAGTTTATAAACATCATGCATCAGATACATGTTTCAAACTGTGCAATCACCAGGAGAAATCAAACTGTCAGAGATTTACAGCATTGTCAAAAGCATAAGAAGCCATATGGAATTGATATGTTTACATAATGGCTCTAATATATTAGATGTAGCATTTATTGGATTCCTAGCTTATGAAATTTTTCAAGTAGCTTATTGAAATCCCCAAGAGTTAATCAGAAAAAAAATGTAGAGAAATACCGATTGACTGACTATTTCAATGTTTTTTGCAAAGATTTAATGATAGGCATGATCTGAAAACATGATATTGTTTGAGATTGTGATAGATCTGTCATTTTTTTTTTTCAGGAATTGTTCATGAAAACCCGCGAATTCTCTCAGATGGAGAGAGTGAAGAAATCTCAGGAACGTCCAGCGAGGACTTTGTCTCACCGGTCAAATTACGCAACCGACCGCGACGAACCAATGAAGTACGTACATTATAGAGAGTGATCTGTTAGAAAAAATGAGAGTACTTGTAAATTGCGATACATGTATCATTTGGGGAGAGGGGCACTCTGTTGAATACACTGAAGATTAAATTGCTATGTATGAATGTTAACCTTTAGTTTCTATACCAATGATACCAATTCAAATGAAGTTGTTGTAGATCTCTTCTGTGTTAGCTCCCTCGACCTAGCTGATACACTTCTCATAAACTGAGGCACCGTCAGATGGGTGTATATTAACCCTTGGATTTTGTTAAACCCAATTGTAACACTTGAAACTCATGGTTGACATGTATTATTCCTTCCATGCTCTTAGATATTTTGCATTTATTCCTTGTTTTTATATGCATTTTCTGTTTGTAAATTATGTATTGACTTGCATTTTTCATGATACTGTTCTCCTGTTTTGGAAAAAATGTGAAAAATTTTATAATTCTATCGCAACAGAGTAGCAAGGCAGTGTGAGATGTATGTCTACACTTTTCAGACCTCTACAGCGAATACATTTACTGTTCAGAGATCTGCTCCTTATATAGGGGTTGTAGGGGGTAGCATCGATGAACGTGAAATATGGCAGAATATGCCTTTTTACGTGTAGTGTTCAGCTTTAAATATCAGCTATATGCCAGGCTTAGAACTTACTATTTAGATAATCCCCCCTCCCCCCCCCCCCAAAAAAAAAAATCATATAAATATCGTGTTTCACTAAGAAAGAATTCATGTTGGAATGATTTTAAATTAAGGTTAAATAAAATATTAATGAAAAGATATCATGTTATATCTAACAACCATTCTCATTTTCCAACAATAAATTAGAATTTTGGTCTTTTTCAGTCACCGGGAGTAGAAGGTCGCCATGACTACATTTCTCCAGTTAAATTACGCAACAGACCACGCCCCAGTACTAGCGACGTAAGTATTAGTACTAGTCGCCCCAGTACTAGTGACATGAGTATTAGTACTAGTACCCAGCACAAGTAATTCAAGTAACGGTATATTCATATATATATAGGTACCCATCATAAGTAATGTTATAATACTTATTAAGCTGATATGTAAGTTAGGTGGCACCCATCTTGTGAGAATACCGTATATCAGGATTTTTCCGCGTCATGTTTTTTCCGCGAAGCAGAACCTAAATCAATATATTAAATTTACGCGAATCAAATTTTCACTATTTCAAAGTCCCAGTGATTATATTATTAACAATTGTTTAAGCCTGTAAAGGAAATTGATGTAAAATGTAATGTCATTGAGCTTGAGTTACTTCATACGGGTGAAAAATAGATCGATCGACCTTCACCTCGTCAATTTCGGAAGACCTACACACCTGCATTGCGTACTAGCTCTCGAATCCACAGATATTGTTTTATAAGATTTAAACAATCATTCAGATTTAAACAGTTCATTTAATGTTCCAAACTGACTAGCAGCTCAGGTATAATTAGTTTTAATAGCTTCTCGCAAGGAACGTGACCAATATAATTAGCTGGCTTGTCAATTAGTAAACAAACAATAAGGGCTTCTACCTATTACCGGTATCTTGCGCTTGTCCTCTGATCCCGCTATTTCTAGCCTCTATGATATAAGCATTAAGAAATAATTCTACTACAAGAAGAAAACTGTATTAAATTTACGCTGTTTTATTTTCCGCGATTCAGAACTCGTTGCGAACAAAGCGGAAATTGGATACACACGGAAAAATCCTGATATACGGTATATCCTGATACTGAACAGAGGTAATGTGAGTACACTTGAACTGGTTTCTGTCAGATAATTTGAGTACTCATAAACTGGTACCTAACTTACGCAATGTGATTACATTTATACTATAGACCACAAATATGACTGTCCTAGATATTAGTACTGAGTACACTCTGGGTCATAAAAATGATTCATATTTTTGTCATGGTTTTAAATGTTTTTGCCTTCAAACATCAAAGCTATATTCATTATAGTGTTTCCCACATGGCTAAATTTCTTTATTTTTTGCATCCTAAATTGACCTTAGGAATATTCGTTTCAGTAAAATATTGATAGTCAGGAGGGTAAATAATTTTGTTCTGGTGTTTTTCTACAAAAAATAGCTTCTACAGACCCTTTAGTATCATGCTAAAATAGCTAAGTAATGTTTTATTAATTTAGAATTTTTTATTGTTGAAACTAATTAGCGAGCTAGGCTACATTTTTACACAGCTTAGATAATACGTTGTGTGCAAGTCATGTGGGCTAGAACTACAGACATTTTAAATTCCTACATTTCCTGCTTAAGGGATATATCCAATCGCAACTTCTCGGGCCTTTCCTGCTGATTAAAAAACGACCTCGAATGTATATGGTAGACGCCATGACAACCCTCCCTTTTCACAATCTTTGAAATAAATGCATGGATACCTTTTATTTGTGGAATATGGAGTTGAACTTTATACAATGTAATGATATTACTTAAAATATACTATAGAAGGGACTTCTAACTCTGTCTATCCTATATTTGAATAAACAGGAAATGTATAAAATTTTTACATCCGGTGATGTTAATACATTGGAGGTTGTTTTTCCGACCTCTGACGGAAAGACCCGAGATGATGCGATTGGGGATATATAGGATAAATCTCCTTGTTAGGTCTTTGATGCGTTTTAGTGAGTGGTACTTCAGAACTGATGCCAGATTGAAACATCTGACCTTGACCATGTTAACTGGAATTTTACTTGTGTATCACACATATAAATTTATTCTTGTTTCCTGTTTTGAACAGAGATGATGTAGGAAGCACTCAATGATACATTTGTGAATTTATCATTTTAATTAAAACAGGAAGTACCGTAAAAAGAAAACAAAAACAAATTAATGGAATACTATTAATTATTAAGTATTTTGTTTATTTCATGTTCATTTATAAATTGAGCATTGCAATATCATTCCAACAGGTATTGATGTAGGCATAGATGTTGTGGTTTATCACACTCAGTCAGATACTAATTAAGCAGCTCTTCTCGGATCCACCTGATCAACTGAAAAAAATCTCCATTTAAATCAATTATTTACATGGTAAGGGTGGAGGCATTATGCTGAAGTATTATTCCTTTCATTTTTGGGTGGAGCAGTATAGGGGTTTAAACTTCCTTAAACCGTGAAGTTCCTCAATAATCTAAATCCTTTGAGAGTTTGAAGGTTAAGTGAAAGCTTCTCATCTGGAGAAGAGGTGACGCCACTCAGATGTGAATTAATTTCTGGGCAAGATGAAGAAAAATGAAACAGTCACAAAGGAAAACTACTCACAATTTCTCCTCATTATGTAAACTCTTGTTCTAGAGGCCAGAGAATGACCCCTTAATTAAGTCAAGGTCATGCATTCTGAAACAGCTGATTTGAAAAACACATTGCCCATTGAAAATCCTTCAAGAGAGGTTGAAAGTTGTTTAAAAAAATTAAGGAAACACATGTTGTATTATTTTCATCAAATTTCATTGGGGCCTTCATTTATGTTGTCTACAGAAGACGAAAAAAAAGTTTTGTGTTGTTGAATTCTCTTAAACCTGTTTGAAGTTTGTCAGTGCACATTAACACTGTGTATTGTGCATGCAATCTGACAGTTATTGAATCAGACAGGCAGGCCAATTTTATCCATCTGGAGAGAAAAAATGGAAACATTTTTCTCAAATGCTTAGTAAAACTTTCTTGCCATTTCATGCAGTGTCACATTTGTGAAGTGTTGATTTAGTCACAGATAGAATTTTCAGTTTTTTGGACCTATTATTACAAAGGAATTTTTTGATGAACAGTGACATTGAGCATAATGTGTAGAAACACATACGGGTTGTGGTTATAATTCGATAATCAGGGTCCATCTATACAGTAGGCTGGGGGACTTTAATGTAGATGTCAACAGAACTGTTTTTGCTGCCGTTCATTACATCAAGGATTGGCAAGGTGATAAAGCCTAAAGTAGAGGAAAGTTTTAAAATATCATTAGGATTGGACTGATTAAGACTCAGGTTATTTACGTGGACAAATGACGACAAATCAGGAACGCAGTTCCCAAGACATCAGAATTTTACTCTGTGAGTGGACATCTGTCGTCGTCATCTCGGTGTTGTCTTTGTTTTTAGATATCTGTGTCTGATGGATGTTTATTCGTCATCAGTGTACAGGTTAATAAACTCTGCACCTTAATCGTCATGAGACCAGTATATTAAGGGTGGATCTCTAAGCTTCTTAATCAGTTCAGAAGTTCTGTTGCATGATTTCTGACTTCTGTAGATAGGTTGTTATACTGAATTCAGTGGACACAGACTTCAGTGGACAATAGAATCTCTGGGTATTCTTGCTGCGCATTATCTTCATCTGAGACCATTTGACCCAGCTTATAAGGTTGACCAGGACTCAAGAAGTGTGACAAGTCCTTCAGTATCCAATTATAGCAGTAGAACAGTGTGACTGGTTCCTGGAACTCTTGGGAATTGGGGCAGCAGCTTTGACATATCCTATATGAAACCACCTGTTGTTAAAATTGTTTGTCTTTGCAAAAGCAGTCCAATTCGGTACTTATAAAGACAGTTTTCCATAAATGTCATATAATTCTTCATACAGGAAACAAAATTAATTTGTAGACTTGATATTAGTGCAGTTTAAGGGGATTGAACTATGTGCAAGTGTTAATTTAAATTGTTGGAATAAAAATCATATATGTCCATGCTCAGCAGCAGTATAATTACGTCTACTTTGTATAAAACAGCAGGTGTCAGTATCGTGAGAATTACACTGGAGAAAAAGGTTGGTCTTTTGTTTGTGCTTCAGATGCTGATGACAGAACTTCATTGTCAGGTTTGGATCAGCAGGGTTGATCTATATGGGGAGATACATCGTTATTAGAGGAGTTCTCACAGGAAGTGACCTATTATAACAATACGACAGATACCTGAAGACTCGCTAATTGTCAGGGAATCCGCTTATAGAGGATACTTATTGGAGATGCAGTGTTTGTGGAAAAAGATTTAAGCACTGAAATTGGTTTTTTTGTTATTTTACCAACAGTAGATATATTTTGAATTAGTTTTGTAGAAGATCTACAAGGAAACGTTATCGAAATTCTGATTTCAAAAGAAATTCTCTCGAAGGATTCCTTAATTTTCCTACTTGGTGTGCGAAGGGCATCTAAGTACTGGATTTGGCTTAGTTTTGATAAAGTGAGGACAATTTCTGCTTCCTAGTAGTACTGTTTTGTGGTCCTGCAAGCCATTGCAAAGTCAGTGTCAAAGAAGCGATATATCTATTCACACCTGGGGATGATGTACTAGAATGTTATGTGTAAAGACAAGGAAGTTATAAGACTGCGATGCATTAAATTAAAAAATCATCAAAAGTGATCTTCCCTTGCTGCGTTATCAGACAATACAAATAATGAAATAAAAAATTACAGTTGGATGCAGAGGGAATTTAGAAACTGTGATCTGGAAGGGGAAAAAATTTCACACCCTTAGTGCCAATTTGTTAGACAAAGAGGGCCGTGGCTTTTGGCAGACGAGAAATTTTTTTTAGCTTCTTAATTCCACATCTTGCATTGGTAAACTAAATAAAATGGAAAGGATGTGTTTCTAAGCTTAGACAAGGGTTTGCTATTCTTGAGTTTTAAAATCTGATACAAAACACACTTTCCATGTGTTCCATAAAGTCAGAAAGAGGGCGAAAATAGAAAAAAAGGAAACTGGTGTTCTTTTGACTTGTTTGTTGGAAAGCTGTTTCTGACTTCTAAGATTGTAATAATGACTTCATTGTATTAGTGGGAATTGATGAAATATGTGTACAATTCCATCATGAGACTGGCTCGCTCAGAAATGCCGATTCTTCAGCAGAAATCGGGAAACGGGAATTCAAATGGTTCTCGGAAGAACTCGCTGGTTCAGTGTTTTACTCAGGGAAATGAGTCCGAGTCTGATATAGACTCGGATGAGGATGCAGAATTACAAAGAGTTCAGAAGGTATGAGTTCTCTGTTGTGATATAAGCAAGGATTCAGCTAAATTGTATCTGATAATGATAAAGATGTATTGCCATTAATTTTAATCAAAAAGGTTCTACATTTTATGAAGTCCGTATGAAGGCAAAATCCACAGTCACAAGAGTTCACTTTGTGTAATTCTTAAGCATACAGAGTTTGCATGTACTTCAATCTATTTAAAAAAATTGGTTGGAAGTCATTAGATTACATAATTAAGTATGTTTCATTCAGATTTTGTCAGCTTGTTTATGGTTAAAAGCGCATTTTTGGAATAATTGTGACAAGTGTAACATTGTTTCATGTTGGATAAGTGGGAGAGGGAGGTATATTCCTGTATATTTACATTTGCAAATGTTTTCCTTTATATAACACTACTAAAAGCAATGTGTATCTATAACTGTATAAATACAGGTACGGGGTCAAAAGGTCATAGATGTGTGTATGGATAATCTTCGACGTAATTTCTTAGTGACGTCATAAAGGCTCGATGCGCGTTCAGTGGATTGTATGCATGCCGTTGGGTTTGAAAAATAATACATTTCACACGTTAAAAGTCACAATCAGGCAAATATAAAGTATGAGTAAGTCACAAATGTAAATATAAGTAATAAGGTTTAATTTTTAAACATCTATCGGGCTATAAATACGGGGTGGAACGAGATTGAATTCATCATAAAGCCCTCTTTATGGAATTTAATCTCGTGACCAACCCGTATTTATATCCCGATGGATGTCTTAAAATGATACCTTATTTCTTAAATACACATAAACATATTAAAACACTCAGTTGATCATTTCCACAATTTTTGTGATTTTCATTCTTCTTTTCAAACCCTTGACAAAAGTCGCTTTGTAAAAGTCAGACTAGAAAGCAACTATTTCATTTTGTTCCTGGTCCAAGACTGGGAACCAATCAGGAAACAGCCTCTATAGATTGTTAGTGTTATATACTGAAAGAGCATAAGAATGTTGTCAAATCCCATTGCTCAAGAGAATTTTATATGGTCTCTTGACATGACAATGACCCTGTCTGGGTACATCACCATGATGATACTGTTTCTATGAATATCCCCTTCTTGAGCTTGGTTTTTGCTAGAGTACCGTGACATGAACCCCTTGAGACATTCTGATGTCTGTACCTTCAGAGGATCCTTTTTAAAGCTCCACTATTGACTTTTGAGATACAATTTTGCTGTTTACAATATGAGGGAGACCTCTGACATAGCTAGATGGCACCACTGCAGTTTTTTTGACAACCATGACCAACACTTTGCTTTCTCTCTCCAAAACAATTCTGGGCATAAATTTGACCCTGGATCTACCTTCGTCAAGAATGTTTCTCTATTTTACTTAAAAAAACTTGCTGAAGAACTTCTGGCATGAACCATTTGTTAGGAGGAAGTGTCTGTATAAACAGTAGGCTCACTTCTAGGACAGATGAAGTAAACTCCCAGCCTGAGGCAGGCAGTAATTAACTACCCAGGGTCAAATATGTTCCGTTGTTATTTTCTTCATCAAATTCAAGAAGCACATGCAGATTTACCTGAATTCTGATATAAAAAATTATTTTAGGTACAGTATGATATAAAATCTTTGTTTAGTTATTTTATAAATATTTCCCAAAAAGAGGGTGGGAGGGGGGTACTCAGGGTAGTGTTGCTTTGATTTTGATGTTGGATAGAAAAAAAATGTAAAGTTGATGTTAGATAAAATGTGTATACATAATTAAGTATGTATAACATTAGTTACATTATTGGTTGTAAATAATCTGCCTCCAATATAATATGCTCAAAAGTATAAGCTGATATTGGATTTGGCTCCGCAGCTTTTATTGACCTATGTGTCATGTGACATTTCTATATCTTCCTAACAGAGCTGATAAATGCCATTATGTAACAGAATGAAAACAAATCCCAGGCCTATATTTGACAGTGTACTGTTTCATATTTCATATCTCTCCTTGGGTATATCCAATACCAGAAGCAATATCTTACATAATGCTCAGAATGAGATTATAATTATTTTTGTTTGTCAAAGCTTACATCCAGATTTAACTTTTTCTCTCTGTTGACTTGCAGAGGTCTACGTGGGATAACCAGGTCCTTTTTTTTCATTACAGGAGGTGGCCAAACGCCTGTCCTTGCCGGCAGACATGCGACTTCCTGGACATTTTTTGGCTCGTCAGAGTCTCAGTCCCGAGAGCATGCTCAGTAGGCGCTCACGGAGAAAATCTCTGGTAAGTCATTATTTTCATAAAATGCTGTACATTTATTGAATGAGTTTGAGGCAACATGCCTCTTGTTGAACCCAAGGCCCAGATTGTTTTGCCTGAGGCTATAAAGCAACAATTTTGGTTTGGGTCCTGCAAAATGCATTCAACATAAGAATGAAATCATTAATAGTTAATACCTATCACTTTGAATTATGTCGTATTTGAATTTTGAACCTGATGAACAGCATGCAAATCAATTGGAAAATGTAATAAGATTGGGCCCCAATATGTGATCAAAGTTTTCATAGGAGCTGAATTATTGCCATAGTGACTGGTTAGTGTTGTGGCAAATGGGCCTCCTGTTTAGTACCGGGTATTTTACTGCATAACATACTACATTGATCTCTGAGTATCTCATTCTTGCAAGTCAAATTTTTATAGCCATTTGACAAAGATGGTTCTAAAATATTATAGTAGAAATAAGGTCAAATCTTGCCATTTCAAACCTAAAGGGAGGGAGAAAACAACTTTGCGATATCTAGGGATTTGACATATCAAGGGTGATTTTTTTTTAAGATTTAGTGGTTTTGGCAAATTGCTTTGATATAATTCCATGATATTCGAGATATTGGCATTCAAGATATTGAAGTTTAACTGTATAGATTGTAAAGACATATAATAAGTGATGCTCTAAAATTTAATGTTTTTTAAATCAACAAAAAATTAAGAGATTTTGGATCAATTCTAGCCTATGAGTTTAATAAACAAAAGCATATTATATAAATAATTTTTTTATGTCACTTTAAATAAAATTTCAATTTCTTAGGACAGACCAATATGACAAATGAGAATTGCATTTTATGCACATGATGCAGTAGGTGTTTTCCGACCCATTTATTAATGTGGAATTAGAAGAATTGCTTAAAACAACATTGTGCAGTCCTCTGCTGCAGAAATCTTAAACTTGAATTCAATTTTTATCATGTTTATTAAGGCTAGATGTCTACTTCTTAGCATCTATTAGAAACTACATGTCTTTTTTGTAAAATCTTTACTCTTTCCATGTGATTATTTCAATGTTGTCGACATGAAAATTACTGCAGAAAAAATCCAATTATTCTTATTTTAAAAGCTCAATGCTGACTTACTGGGAGTCATAATTTTGGAGTTTGTCTGACATTGATTCCATGAATTGACGAATTACAAGACATCATCTGATTGTCTGTCTGTTTTATGTGGGTCATTAGACTGATCTGTCAGACGGGAAAAAACACAATCATTATTGTAACCAGGTTATTGAACAAACAAGTCAACAAATTTCTTTTTTATATATTTATAAGTAATTCGACATATCAATCCAATTATGGAAGGAAATAAACCTTATTTTTTCGAGAAAAAAACACCAAACAGAAAAACAACTGTATAAATTATGTTGTCATACCATATATAACATAATTTATACCTTTTAGGTATTTCTATGAGACTAATTACTATTTTTATGGACAGTAAACTCATTTTTTTTTTTTGGGGGGGGGGGTCTTTTTAAGTACCTCAATTTATCGATATTGTATTGGTAATGTTGATAATTTTCAGAGGCTTTCAAAGTATCAATTGTTCTCTTAGGGTTTCGCTTTTCAAATGGATGAGAATTCTAATACTTGTACTTAAAATAAACTTATAATGTTGTAGCAGTTAACATTTTATCTTCCCAAAAAACTTGCTGAAAGTTTCTGGAATCTCACCGCAGCATTAACTATCTGACATAATCATAGATTTATATCTACAAGGTCACACACATGACAAGTTCAAGGTCATGCTCATCTTTCACAGAATAGAGATATAAAGGTGAGAAATGAAGTTTTAAAAATATGAGGGTAAGAAATGCAGACTGCACTTTCTCGTAATTACTCAAGGTCACAAGAATATGCCAGATCAGTCAGATAAATTATTTTCCTCTTGGCAATGCTATGACAACTGCTATCCTACAAAATCTTTTGAGCAAATATATTGTCCTATGATTTGAAATCTTTTTATCCCCTGGTAAGGAGTTGAAAGGGGATATAGTAACATGCCTTTTTGTGTGTGTTAGTTTGTCTTATGCGAAACAAAAGTCACTGTCAGTGATGTAATTTGCAGTGGGACCATTATCTATTAATGTGCTGCTTTGATTCATTTATAGATATTCTCTTTGCAATGGGATACTTTGGTTTGCTGTGCCCTTTTTCTTCATTTCTATTTTCTTCGGCAAAAAAAAGCACTTTTAATAAATTAGATTGGATGCCCAGTATACACCCTTTCCTATTGAGGCCCCATCTTTCACTTCAAACAGCACAGACAGCGATACCCTCATTTAATGTACTCCAGTTTAATTAGTAATAAAGGAGGCTCTATTTATAACAACACAGAGACAATGATTTATTTAACCAGTCAGGTGTCAGACAAAAAGTCAAAAGTACAAAAAAAGATGGAGAAATCACCCCAAAAATACATAGAAACGTTCTGCTCAATTTCCTCTGCGAGCTTCAACAGCCAGCTTCTCCAATTTAACTGTTCACTCATTTTATTTTAGATGGAGCTCACTTAAAGGTGCTTTAGAATTTCAAACAATTCATTTGCCTTGAATTGATTTATGTGATTTAAACTTAAATGATAAAAAGCGCAAGCTTAAACTCTGGGTTAAAGTAATCAGCTGCTTCAAGTGAAAATCTGGCATTAAGAAATGCATCCTTGTGAAGAGAACTGTTAGATCCACCTAAAGAATCTAAAGAATATTCAACACAGAAATCTTGGATATCTGTGCTTTTCATGAACAAAAATATTTCAATATAAAAAGAAAAAAGCTATTTCAGGGAATATGTCTTCTCTCGCTAGAAGAGCATGTATAGGAGGTGTGGGGGTGTAACGGGTAGATGTGGGGAGGGGGTCATTGGGGGATTGGACATTTTCAGAAGGGCGAATGGGGCCATAGGTAGTTGTGGAATAGCATTTCATTGCAAAAGCCTTCAAGCTTAGTGGTATATCAGTGGGAAATGAAAGTTTTTCAAGCAGAATATATGAATTTATGACCTTGACCTCAAAATCAACAGGGGTATACCTTTAGCCACAAGTAAGTTGTAAATATAAGAATTTCACTGCAAAAGGCTTCTTAAGATATTATAAGGAAATTAAAGTGTAACAGAAAGATGGATAGACAGACACCCAAATTATAATCCCCCACTTTCAGTGGAAGTGGGGGACAATAAACAAAAAAGCTTTGACAATTTTTAATGTTAAATTAAATGTTAAATTGCAGGAACTCTTTTATGTCCATTCAAGAATAAGAGTAAAAACAGACTTTAAAAATTGTTCAAAAATTGGACAGTACATGTATGTGTTGATGCACAGTTCACATTTTGAGAGTCAACACAATGGTTTTTTTTTCCCTATTTCTCAAGCTTAATATAATAAACTGCTTCAACTGAAAACGAAAATTTCAATAACTGTCACAGGTTATTAGATTAGACATGTACATTTATTTATCTGAATTTGATTTACACAATGGCTTTTCATTGCAGTCTGAAATTGGTTTCGGGAAGATAGAATCGTATACCAAGCTAGACAAACTGGGAGAGGTGAGTAAACAAAGGAAGATAACTCTGTAAACCTCGTCACTTTCATTACAATTCTAAACTGTGTTAACTTTTTTGTCATAATCATATCAAATAATGATTTAGACTTTGTACTATACCATTGAGTCATTATGATCAGTATTAGATGCTATTTTTGAAGTGTCCCTTTTATAGTACTGATGATTTTTATGTCACTAACATAAGAAATCCTGTTTGGTTTTTTTTTATCCTCCTTAAAAAAAAGCTCAAGTTATCTAAAAACCTGAACTGATTCATGTTCATGAAAAACTAGTGCTGTAAGTGTTTTATATCACATTAAATTTTATATATGTGTATATAGGGAGATTGAGAAATTTAGATTTCCTGTTTTACTTAAATAAGTGCTATGAAAACATTTGAAAAAGGCAACAAAATATGATTCCTCTTGACATAAGTACTGTAGCTTATGCAATTTCATCCTATCTTGTTTGAATCTATACGTATGCATCCTTAGCAGCATCCCCCAATCCTCTGAATCAATTCTTCAATATATCTATATAAAGAGAACAGGAGGATTAAGTAAATTCTGTAAAATTCCTAGTACGCAGAGTGATTAATGTATGACTAATATATATTTAAATGTTACTACTCTGTACCACATTTCAGGGTACCTATGCCACTGTGTTCAAAGGAAAAAGTCGGCTAACAGACAATTTGGTTGCTCTAAAAGAAATCCGCCTGGAGCATGAAGAGGGCGCTCCCTGTACAGCCATACGGGAAGGTAAGGGAACCAGTCAAGTCATGTGGTACCTTAATTGGGAAGCACTTGTCAAGTCACAAAGAACCCAAGGTCCATAATCATGGTCCATGTTACCCAGGGTC